TTGGACTCCATATTCATAAAATACTTCAAGATCTTTTCTGTGAAGTTTTCAAGGGAGTGCATGATTCAAATATCGGACAGGGTCTACGCTCACTTTCCTCTTTCGACCACCTAGAATCCTTGTTTAGTTTCTGACTAGATTTAGGGTTCTCGATCCCCGACTACCTCTATTAGCCATCAAGTTTTCTTCATAATTGATGTAGGGCTTCACTTCACTCAACTATTCCTTCAAGTTGTGGGCTCCCTTTCTCTAACTTCTCACAAAATTCATAATTCGGCCTAAGGCCCTTCTTGAAGATATAGTACTTAAGGCTCACACCTAAGCCTCCAACAGCTACTACCACATTGGTGAAGTGGTTAATATATACGCAAAAGGTCTCCTTCTTACCCTGCGTAACTCCACTGAGAACATCCTAGGAGGTTGGTTGTATTTTCCTGGTGGTGAAAATGTCGGTGAAAGTGGGGCACTGGTAAGACCAAGAATATATGCTTTCATTCAGAAGGAACGTACACCTAACTTACACCATATTTAGTAGACTCAATTAAGGATAGTACAAAGAGATTTCACTTTGCATCTCGATCCGCGTGGTAGTATTCTATTCGCTTGTCCACATGTTCAACATGGTCGTTCGGGTCTCTTTTTCGTTGTAAACATGGAGCTTTTGAGGCTTCTCCAGAGACTTCAAGATCTTGTCGTCCAATATTCAAGTGGATAAAGTGTTCTTCTTTCGCGGTTGAGATGAGGCCTTTTCATTCCTTTCTCCCCTTTTTTGTCAGCTCGGGAGGAATGTGGTTTTCTCTACATCCTTTAGGATCAGGAGAAGGAGTATGATGCAAGTTTCATCGGCAGGTTCGATATTTTTGGACTTCTTCTGGATCCTTTCTTCGCTCGTCAATTTTATGCAAAGCTGTCTCCAACATAGTGTTGTTATTTGGGATGGTGTTGTGCAGGCTCTCTTCAATTCTAGTTAGTATGTGTGACAAGGTATGGCAGTTTTGTTGTTGAATAAGATTGTATATATTGTTCAAAAGTTCATCATTAGCTCCTTGTAGACCAAGATTAGCTCGTGTAAACTAGAAATCGGGGAGTGTTTCACATATGGTTACAGTAGGCGTCAACGATATTGTAGGTTTGAAGGAATGTTTTTCTAGGTGGAATTGTGGAGCGGATCCGATGAGCGAAGGAATTTGAGAATTTCCTTAATTTTCCCTATGTTGGATAAAGTTAAATGGAAAATGAACTAATTGAGTAGTTGTCAGGACCTGATCATCCGACCCCCGAGGAGGAGGTGTGGGGTTCCTAGCTGATTTGGTGATTGTAGTTTCTTGTCGTGGAACAATAGAATTAATGGCTTTTAAAGCTTTCATCATCTGATGGGCCTAATGAAAAGAGTTTGACTCCATATTTGATGGAATTGATCTAGAGAAGGAGATCTACTCTTCGCTAGAAGGAGATTTAGATTTGATTCAACTGAATCAAAAAACAATGGATCATGGAAATCATGGGAGTCAAAGGTTGATTCCAATAGACGAATCCAATGTTTTGCTCAGGAATTGTATGGTGATCGAATAAGGTGGATTTGCAGTTTGTTGTGGTGGTTTACGGTTTTTGATGCGGTGAAAATATAGTTTACCTGCAAGGTTATCACTCCAACGCTCAAGTCAATAATAGAATGAAAATGCAATTAATCTAGGAGATTTGCATGGCATCCTCACGAGTCGTGATGGGTACTCTACGACCGATAGGGAAAACTCTACATACTCTTCTTGTATAAATTTCTTTCTTCGCTAATAGGCTTTCGCTACTTGGACTCTGCGGTCGTCCTAGAACACCATTCAATTGAAAGTGGCCAACGATGATGACCATCTGATTAGTTGACTGTTATGATATGCTCTTAACAGTTACTTTTATCGTCAAAAGTGGCCAATGGAGATGGTTTGAAGTTATCAGGGACTTGATAATACCAAATCTTCATCGTCAATAGTTATACGTTGATCAGATCCTTCAATTCTTTCTCTTTGAGTGGGGGTTAATGTTGGTTTTGTTGTAAAGTGTGCATGCTACCCTGAACAGATCATTCTAATGGCGTAGGTCTTCCACATCGGTGAGTAATTCTTCCATGGAAGCCTTGCGATCCTTGATTAATGTTGCTTGCTCTCGTCGTGGAGGACGGTCGAGAATCGAAAATTTGAATTATTTTTTTGTGTGGCGCATGGAAGTTTTACTAGAACCCTACGATGGACACCAAATGTTCACGTAAAAAACACTAGTTGATAACTCTATCGATGTTGACCGGTAAGAGTCGCAATGAATATCTTTCTATGTAAGAGTTTCCTTGTCCTTTAGATTTTCTATGTCTCCCACTTTATACCCACTCCTCTTTGTCTGATCAAAAACAAAACCTTAAATGTCATTAATCAACATAATGGTCATTAATAATCAATTATTTGTATTCATCATTGTGGAAAACAATGCTATGTTCTTAAATATCTCTCCTTAAGATAGCCTTTGTCGCGTCTTGACTTAACCCAACCTAATCTTAACTTGGTTCGCCTTACTTTTAACTCATTTAAATCCTTAACCCTAAGTTCTTTTTCGACAAGTTCATATTACTTTTGATCGACCAGACATAACAAACATCTGAAAAATACAAATAATTTTTAATTAATTAAATTATCTTTTTTTAAGCCAATATGTTTTCAATTTAAAATATTATTATTTAATTTTTTTATATAATAATTATAAAATTAGAGATCCATGTAAGACTCATGTTAATTCTCTTGTTAATATTATATTTTTAATTATTTTTTAGCGCTTACAATAGCTCTCAATCATGTTTTAATATTTGTTGTACTAATAGAGTAATCCGAATGTTTTTTAGCATTAATTATATTTATTAAAAAATACATAAATAACTATATTTTAGAAAAAATTATGTAAAAAATTATGTTTCGGAGAAAATTATGTAAATAACAATATTTAAAAAAAAAAAAAAAGAATTAAAGAGGTGTCATTTGAATTGATGTCTTTTATATATTTTTCAAATTTTTTCAGCGCGGATTTTCTTGCAGATTTGATATTAATTGCGGATTTATTTGTAGATTTTTCTACGGAATTACCTGAGAGAAAATAGTCCGCAGATAAATTCACAAGTAAATTCACAGGATAAGTCAATCTGCAGAAAAATCCGCAGATAAATAAAAAATTGATTAAAAAAATTAAAAGATACCTAGGCGCCATCTCACTTAACGTCTCTTTTAAAAAAATCAATACATACACCATCTGAGATGGTTATTACATTATAATATTTTTTAAAACATAATTATTTATGTAAAATTTTCTGAAACATAATTATTTATGTATTATTTTTTTAAATATGGTTATTAGTTAAGAAAATCCGAGTAATCTAACGTAAACTTTCAAATTAGCGTCAAGTTTTTTCAAAAATAAAAACGTCAAAAGTTACTGTAATCGGTGGGGAGAAAATTTAGTTGGATAATGAAATTTACATATTCCTTCAAAAGAAATCCAGTCAAAATCTGATAATAGGTGAATGAGAAAATGTCAAATCATATTAAAGGGTTAAGGCACAGCTCCAAACCCAAAGCCTGCGGGATAAATAAGGATGGGACGCAACTTGCCACGACAAACCCCCGCCACTCAGGTAGACAACGACAACTATAATTTGTTGTGCAATATCAACTCCCGTCTAGTACTATGCCTTTAAAGTCTTAATCAGAAATTAAACTTAACGATAATAAACTCAAATTAAGATGGGTTGGCTTTTGAAAAGACTGATTAACTTTAGTATAAAGTTTGAAAAGACTGATTAACGCTGATTTTTATATGATTAACAAAACATTAACTAAAAGGAACTTGTCTCTCTCTAGTCTTATCTCCATCTAAATCTATAACACAAAGTCGCGACACTAGACTTCATTTGTTTAATCAAACAAAGCATTTAAAAAACCACGCTCTCACATGCGATTTGGATTTTATGCTTCCCAACTTGTTAATCACATGCTTTTAGCATATTCCTAGCTTTTGCTTATTCTTATATCACTGTTGGAGAGAAACTTTAGAGCAAATCATTCCTCCAATTATGCACAATAGTTTAGCACATAAAATTGCTTGCAACAAACAGGAAAAGTAAAAGTACCCTACCATATATTAAAGAAGGACCCATAGAATGGATAATCATGTCCGGTAAGAGAAAAAAAATCTCTTGAATAAGATGGAAAGAAGATGAAGTGATGAATATTTTTTCATACCAATAGAAAAGGTAAGGACAAAGATGACCACATAGATGTGGATGTTCTTTCCCAACCACACAGAAAAATTAAAGTTAAATTATTCAATAATCCCTTCTGGGAACTCATACCATGTCCCCAATCAAAGTACAAATTTGATTAAAAGAAGAGAAACTTGTCCCACTCAATTCAATCTTTCATTAACGTCTCAGGTGTGGACCACCGACCATTAAGCCAGACTCTCATTTCCTCTCTTCCATCTCCCATTAACGTCTCCAAAATTTTATATAAAATTAAACAATGAAACAGTAATTTGTCACTTTGCTAAAAGAAATAGTGTACAGTGTGTTTTAAATGCAAGCAGAGAGTAAAAAATTACAATAGTAGTAGACATTAAGTTTTGGGTTCAGTCTGACGCAATTTAAAATAATTCACCAAAGCTGCCTCCTCTGTTTGAATCGTTGGCATCATTTTTAATAAAATTTACATTCATTTTGAATAATTGAATAATTAAACAAACAATAAAGAAAAATAAAATAATAAAATTCAGAACAAGATAATCTCGAAATATTTTTTTATATTAATTAAAATCTAAAACCTGTTAATCTCCCAAAAATTAAAGTGTCATTACTTCTAACAATGTTTTCATTCCAAAATAGACAAGAACATAGATCAACCTTCAGAAAAAAAGGAAGAAAATAAAACAAGAACAAAACATCCTAGTTAAAAATTAACGGTTACCAACTGTGTCTAAGGGTGTTTGTGTTGTTGATGCCTAACACTGTGTTGGTGTTGATGTTGATGATTTTTGCTATTTGCACCCGTCGAAGATTCTCTTTTCTGCGGCGAAGAAAAAAGCTGACCGAATCCAAAAACCGAACCGGATTTTGAACCGCCTCTTAACGAACAAACCGGAACATTAAGAACCGGAGTGACCCGGACATTAGCTGAATAAGACCGCTCCATTCCACGATGCTTGAACCGGGGCCCGCCGGTGAAACTTCCGGGACTACTCGAACTACGTTCTAAGCTCTGGAATACGATTTTCCCGGATGAGTTTAATCTAGGGCTGTCTACTGAAGCTCCCCTGCACCCTTGCGTAGTGGATGATTCCATCCGGATCGGGCTTCTTCCGGAGCGGTGGTTGTTGTTGTTGTTGTGGTGGTGGTGATCGGGTTTGTTTCCGTCGAAGGAGCCTGCTCGTGGTTTGACTAACCGGATCCTTGGATTCGTATTCGGATTCGGGTTTGGGTTTGGGTTACGATGGATGGAAATCGGGTTGGGTTTTTCTGAATCGAGAGAGAGACGTGGGAGATCGTCGTGGTCGTGGCTTGAAGATGAGGAGGAGAGGGAGAGACGAGAAGAGATCGAGAGAGATTCATTATCGGAGTCTCTGAGTAGAGGAAGACTGAGAGAATTGTTGTCTGATGAGGATGTTGTTTTGGTGTTACGGTTGAGGAGATGTTTGAACGATTTGCTGGAAGGAGAAGAGGATGTTGTTTTGGTAGTTGATGTTGTTGTTGTTGTGTTGGTGGAGTTGTTGTAGAGTTTTTTGAGGCCGAGGAGGTCTTTCCAGCGGCTGGAACAGCGAGGTGCTTTGGGAGAGAAGAGAATGGGGTCGGAGGTTGTTATGGAAGCGGTGGTGGCTTTTATGGGAGAAGTGGTGGCAGAGATGGATGTGGTTGTTTTGAAGTGGAGAGGAACGAGTTTACCGTCGGAGAAGAGCTGGTCGGCGGGAAGCATGGTGACGGGATCTTGGAGACGGAACTCGAAGTCGGGTTCGGGATCCCATGAGAAGAAAGGCTCAGGTGACATACCGATGTTGTTGATGCAAGCGGAAGCCATTGGTGGATCATGCACTGTATGTATGAGTTTATTCAAAGAAAGAGATAGAAATAAATATATAGATATAGTTATATGTAGAGGTAGTGGTTGATGAAGCTACGTTTGTTTGATTGATGTGAAGAAAAAGAGAGGGAAGAGGTTGTTGTTGTTGTAAGTTTTGACGGGTACGGTGAGATATATGTTAGTATAGAATAGAGTAGAGTAGATTGAGAGTGGGCGAAGGAGGCACATATATAACAGTTTGTGCAGCTACTATATCATCGCTTCACTAGACTCTAGGGCCACCTTGCTCCTTTTTCCTCTCAACTCTCAACCCTACTCTCAATCTCTCTTTTAAAAAGGCACAATCTCAATCTCAACTAAACTAAATTAATTACTACTAGTAGTGATTAATGAGTTTAATCAAAGTCAAGTTTTGAACATCTAGAATTCATTTTAAATGTGAATGCTTGATTTTGATATATTTGCTTCTTTTCGAGGATAATTGATTAGTACTACTGTACTATATTTTAATTTTTATTTTATTTGAATGTATAATTTGTACTATCTTTTATATATCTATTTCTTTCTTTTCAATGGTTCGGATTTAATGGAAGGATTATATTATTGGAGACAATCTCCTCTTAAGAGAGTGAGATTAAGAGAAAGATAGAGAAAAAGAAGAGAAATGATGAGAAAAAAAAATGGAAAGAGAGGATTCAAGTCTAAATTTTATACAAAAATTTAGTGATGAACTCACTTTTGCATAAATTTATTCAAAAATGAATCTTTTTACTTTCAACTAACGATGAAGTACGTAAGATAGTCCATATTGAAAAATATGTGGTCAAATAGAGGGCCAAAATAACGTAAAATTACATAGTAGTCTAAAGAACGTGAAAGAGGGTGGTTTGATATTTATACATGTCGTAGCACCTATTCAAATAGGAAAGTTATACCTAATTAGTAAAGACCTTACCGAATACATTATGATAAACCTTCAGAGAATGTATCTTGATGAACCTTACAAGGAAAGTCAAACCAATTAATATTCAATTAGGCCGCCAAAATGGAGAATCGATAAAAAGCAAACATAATGGTCCAAACTAATATAATACTAGCCAGGTTTGGTCTTAATAGTTAATATGCCCTCATGAACAATTTGACATCTTTTGTAAAACAGGTTCATTCACAAAGTTCTTTGGACAAGCTATAGCCCCCCCGCAACACTAAAGATCTTAGAAACATTCAACAACCGAAAATTAAGAGACGAGTAAAAGTTTAAAAAAAATCACCAAAATCATCAAGTTCCATTAATGAAAAACTCTTAAATGGACAATAATACATTAATTAAAATCCCTCAAAAAGACATAATTGAACAAACAAATTTCAAATGACAAGTATATACATTAATATCTAACTATTTAGCATAACAAACTCGTCTTATTTGGGAACATGCCTTTCATCATCATTAGTAGCATGGGTGATCCATGACATTTTCCTCCTTTCTCTCAAAAGGGAATGCTTCCTTCTCTTCAGGCATATTCTTCTCATCGACCAATTGTTTTTCTCTGAAGACCTTGGACAAATCAAGCTCGCTAAGGTCCAACTCAGAGTAAAGACAAAGCACTTGCGCTTTAGCCCTTTAAATGAATGATCAGATGAAACACTTATCTTCGCCTTAGCATCATTTAGATATGTTTGTAGTTTGGTTTTGGAAATGGCATCTTATTTGACAGCCTCTTTAAAAGTCAGTATTTGTGCCCATTCTTGAGCAAGCTCCTCGCCCAATTTCTCATATGCCTCATCCTTTTCATTCTTGTTAGTCTCCAATTTTCTACTAAACATTGTGCCTCCTCATTATTCTTATTACCTGAATTCAACAGGGTTTTGACTAAAAATTTAATTCATTGTGGTTAACTTTGTCTTGAGAATCGCCACATTCCTGGAAGCTCGATTGTAGGTATAAAAAATCACTCACTTCAAATGGACATTCCTTGAGTGATGAAATTCATCCATTTTGAACAGTTGTTCCATGCCTAACCGGCTCTTCATTTCAATATCGTTAGGGAATTTAAGCCTCTAGTGTAAAAATCTTGTAGCGGTTAAATCCTCCTTCTAAAGGGAAGGCAAGACCTTACTCCCTGAAGGAGCTGATAATGGTGTTCCTTGGGATGGTACAACTTCAAATTTATGGAGGTATCTGAATCTAGTTCGATGGTTATGAGATCTTTATAAATCTTACATTTTCTAGTCTGGGAGGAGCTAGGTCTCATCCATAGTTGTCAATGTTCACAGTCGTAATATGAATGGCTGAAATTATACAAACTTCTTCCACATGTTTCCTCTTCTTTGCACCTCAGATTATCAAATCAGAGGAGTATCTCTTCGGGTTGGTTGATCATGCCTCACCTCATTCAACTCTTTTATTATATAGTAAAGCCTTTTTCTCAGTAATCGACATGGGAGTCATTTTCTCTACAAATGAGTCAAAAGGTTATCTAATATAGAGAAGCGTAAATCAAAACATTCATTGAATGATACGCCTAATTGAGTAGTCGTCAAGTTTTTTTGTCATTATCCTTAAAGTATATCACCTTTCTCGCACTCATGATATAAAATGCTTCCAAGAATTCCACAGTCTATTTCTTTGTCTTACTCATTGTGTCACGTTTAAAATCATTTATCATCATAGGTTGACTTGCCCAATTAAAGGAAACTAGTACTATTTGGTCTCTTAAAAATAACCATTGAGAATTCTCTTTTACCTCGTACTCACATAAATTCATATTTCCCATTATTCTAATTGGACGAGTATGAAGCAAGCATGGCCCTCTTGAAGACGACACATACACAATCGACATTGTCGACGCCTTTAGGACAATAGAATGAGAAAAAAATGCCTATAATATGAGTCATCTCTAAAGTTATACATATAATCTCAAATTCCTTAATAAAGGCTCCTATTTGGATGAATTTGGGAAAGGACAAAGTTGATGGTGTGTAAGACCTCTAACTAAAACATGGCAAATATGATTCCCACTCTCATGTCTTAAATGGAACTTGTATACATGTCACAAAACTCTTCCTTGTTCCATATGACATGGTCAAACTGGACCTCTCTCCCTCATTGCACGTCTCCAATAAGATGTCACATTCATATACAATGGTCGATATATACAGATTCTTACAGAATGAGGCTAGATTAGTTGCATTGGTGAAGACAAAGGAAATGTTGTCAACTCCTCCACTAAGGTAAATAATGTTTATAATGTCCATATATGGTCCCTTCTATCTTAGAAAATAAGAGGGCAAAACAAAGTTAATATCACTACTCTCATTGGAATCAGAGTTACTATAAATACTATAATAGGTCGCTAAACATTCCTAAATCTAAAATATTACAATCAGCCATCATGTTACATTGCCTTAAATTCACTACACATTATTTCTACATCCTACATCTTTCAAAATGCATTCTAAGTTGTACCAATTTAGAATTCTCGTTGCACTCTAATAATTATCACCCCCTAATCGAGTAAAATAAAACAGAAACAAGGGAAGCATAACTCAATACACGTGACTTGCTTGAAGAAAGGTTGAAGATAAACTGGGGTTTATTGGTGTTTTTAGTAAACAATCACGAGTTAAGTTCACTTTGTCATACTCCAAATTTTCCCTATTGATTTCTAACTAAATTATTTTTTATTATTACCATTTTCTTTATAAGGTTTAGATTACTATTGATAAATTCACTAGGGGTTTAAACCTTAAAGAGGGGGTGGGTTTTAATAAAGGGGTTTATGGGCTTTCTAAATAAGAAAGGTCGATGTAAATTTAATGGTCCATTCGGTTTTCCTTACAATTAAAGAGGAGGTGTATTTAGTTCTTAAGCCCATTAAAATGGGCAAGGCTCGTTTTCATTTCTTACACGTTTTTGGATAATTATTAAAGTTGTTGGCCCATTTTTCTTCTTGAGCCCATTTTTGCAGGAGATGATGGATGAGGGCCTCATCCACATAATCAGGCCTAGGGCAGAGTATGAAGAGGAGGTGAATATGGTTTCTGGATGTCCTGGAGAGTTCAGAATTTTTGACGTGGAGCAGATGATAGAAGACCTTGTGCAATTGCATGCTACTTTCTGCCACTTGGATGGTTAGGTGGAACATCAATATGGATCTTAGTGAATTTGCTGTCGAGACTCCCGAGGATGTTCAATCGTGAAGAAAAGTGTTCAGTTGTTGTTGGACAATGGAATTATCAAGGCAACAGGTGAAAGGGATGATTACCATGAAGTTGATATGATTGAGGTTTGTTTGGCTAAAGAAGAGTCAGATGATAAGTATGCCTCTGCAGATGATTATTTCTCCTCAGATGAGGATTTTTTTTCCAGAGATGACTCAATAATGACTGATTCCGTTGAAGAAGGGGTAAACTTCATTGTGCCTTGTTTTGGTGCACCCGCCCATTTTAAAGTTGAGTATTATATCAAGCCAGTTGTTACCCCATTAGTGAATAGCTTGTCGGGTCCTGTCCCTTACAAGTCAGATAAGGCTGTACCTTACAAATATGACGCTACAATCTTAGAGGATGGTGTGGAAGTTCCCATCCAGCCAATGCCTGATGTTGGAATATTGCTGAGACTAGCAGAGTGACCCGCAACTGTCGTGTATTTGCACCAGTTGGTCGAGGAGATGTTAGTGCTGGAAAGAAAATTGCTGAGAATGTTAAGCCCAAGAAGACTATGGGTGAATCTAGTGAAGCTACGTTAGAGAAATAGGTGGATGATATTTTAAAGATAATCAAGATGAGCGACTACAGAATTGTAGATCAACTACTGCAGACTCCTTCAAAAATATCCATCTTGGCTTTATTGATAAACTCCTCTGCTCACAGAGAACCTCTGATGAGGGTATTGGACCAAGCTTTTGTGGAAAGTGACATGCCTATAGACCAATTCAGCAGTGTAGTAGGGAACATTACGTCATGTAATAACCTGAGTTTCTGCGACGATGAATTGC